TTATTATGTATCTTGCCAAAATATTTTGATTATTAAAAAATAACAAATTTAATCAGAGCATTAAAATATTGATTCTTAATTAAAATTAGAGTTGATTTTTTATATCAATAATTTAAAATGGGATTCTGAATTTTAATTATCTGATTTTGTTAATCTAATTAGTGACTGTAAATTGGGGTATTTGAGTTCTTTCAATCTAGATAGTATCATTAAATATAGTACTGTAACATGATACATTGTAATTGTTTGTAAGTAGAAATAATTTGAATATATTAATAAATCAACTGTTTTAAATTTTTAATATATATATCAATCATGATCTTCAAAAGGATTGAATTTTTAATGATGGGATCTGCATTGTGAAGGAGATCGGGACTTTATGACGATAGACATTTGTTTAAAGATTTTCTCTTGTTTTTTCATGTCTGATTTCATCATTATCTCTTTATTTGTTTCTATAAATTACAAATATAAACGATGTTCCTTTTGAGTCCAGTGACCTCAAACTTAGTTACTACAATACCTTTATTATATATTTTCTTTGAATTCTTCCTTCTTGTTTTCTTTATTTGAGTTTTCTAGTTATGGTTCTATTCAACAGACTATATGGTTGATTTTGATTCAATTCGTTATTCACTACAGAATATGAATTCTCTTACTCTAAGCCCTCCTCCACCTTTATTGTTGTCTTTCCATGATTTATGGGCTATTATTGTTACAATTGTTGAAGCCTCAGAATTTGTAAATAAGGATGATAGACATTCATGAACCATTAATATTCAATCTAATCAAATCCAAGTATTACATAATGAAGAGAAAGTATTCTGGAACATTGATTCAATAAGATTTTAGATGCTTTGGTAGATAAAATGAAAAATTTTAATATTGCTCAAAATCGCAAAAGCAAATACAAAAATTAACTAAAAACTAAGATACATACATTTTCATTCATTTCATCAAACATTAATTGTATTACTTAATACTTTATAATAAACGAATAATCATTTCTGATTTATAAATCTAATCGAACTTCAATTTCTTATCAATTTCCTAAGAACCCAACATTGAACTCAGAATGTTTCTAATTTATAATTTTTTAACTATTAATATCATTTTTATTATTTATTTTCCAATTTCATATTCCAGAAACTCTAAATTAAAAATCACATTTTAAACATTGTTTCTCTCAAGAAGTTTATTAATCATATTAGTTTTCAATTAAACAGAGATGCTTTGAAGATTCTACTAAAATATTATATATAATCAATGAAATTTTCGATTAAGAAATTTCAAAATAATATAACATTAAGCAGCCTCCTAAACTCCAGATTCATTAGATTATTATTATAATATTAGGGTTTCATATAATCATGCTCGAATTATTCTAAAATGCTGTAATTTTAATTTTACACATAAAACAGACTTATACATAATTATTGAAATTCAGGTTTAACTAAGTTATTAAAAGGAGGAATTAGGTTGTATCTAATTTCATAACTTATAGTATTATGTTGATGAATTCATATTTAAATTTATAGTATAGCATAGATAAAGTGTGAAGATGAGGATGAGTATTTACTGATTTTATTTTACTCAGAAGTTATAAGGTGCTTATAATTACTAAAAAATTATATTTATTTTATTTTCTAATTAAATAGCCCTGATATGACTCAATCCTCATAATTTAACTTCTATTTTGTTCAAAACTAGTCTACTACTTTTTGAATATAAAAGGATAATAAATCTTTTAATTTTTGACATAGTTATATAATTTTTATAAATAAAAACTAACAGTTATAATCAATGGAATACGATTCTGTTTAAAAAATATAAGAGGAGCTGGGATACTATAGGAAATATTGTTAGTAGTTAGAGAATTAAAATGCAGCTTTAAACTAATAGCTATTTAATAACATTTCAGGGAATGTCCTTATAGTTCAGGATGGGAATTCGAACAACATCAAATAACAGGAAAATAACCCCAACAATCATAAGGAATGTGAATAAAGACTAAAATTAATGGAGAGATAATTAAAACGAAAGTTGATGGAAGAATAGTTATGGCTAAAAAGATTTGAGGCTTAATTAAATGAAATCATTGAGTTAAAAGTACAAGAAAATATTAATATAAGGCAATTCATGCATAATATATTCAAGAGAGTGAGCTCGAAAATGTTAAAAAGTCAAAGGAAATGGAAATATTAAATGAAGAAATAGAACAATATAAAAAATAGATAGAAATTTATAAATAGGAAGCAAATTCAGAAATCTATTTAGATGAAATAAAAGAAATGAGAAAACAATTGGAAGCATCTGAAATTAAATTGGAATCATTGACTAAAGAATTGCAAATTAAGGATCAATAATTATGTATAACATTCTCCTATATTTAGATTAAAAATAAGGAAATGTTAAATAGTCTCTATTATCATTTAAGTAAAAATTCGACATTGAATTAAAAAATGATAATCTAAGCACTGAGCCAGATATATCAAGTAAAAGTTTTTCTAATATTATGCTAAGAGATATATGATTTTATACTTATATTAACAAAATAAAACTTATACTTTTACAGAATTATTTCTTTCTTTATGCTAGATGTATATATATAATAGAAAAATTGAAAATGATCTCAGTCAGATATTACTAATATATTAAAGGTGAGAAAGGAAGTATAATTCCTTTTAAAAAATCATTATGCAAACTTTTCCTACGTATTTACATTATTAATTTGAGAAATTATAGTATTGCATTGAAATATTAATAAAGAATTCAAGAAGAATTTGGCATAATCAAAATTTCTTTTCTATTTTTATTTCATCTTTCTAAATTGAATTTATAATATTCTAGAAATTTTATTAAAAGTAGTTTAAAATCAAATATTTTAAATGATTTAGATTGCAATTTCGATTTTCTTAATAATCAAGACTCTTCTGCTTTAAAAATAATTTAGATTGCTGTATTTTTTTATGTTATTGTTTCTTAGACTCATAATTATTTATAATTTTATTATTAATTTTTATTCATTTATTTATTAAGGATAATAAACTACATTTAAGTTGAACTTTTTCTAAAACATTTGAATGTTGATTATGTATTAATCATCTTTGATATTGATAAATTGATTTTATAAGGATTTCAATATAATAGTTATATGTATACACTAAAATCAAGCAGTTTCTGTAGAAGTTATTGAGGGTTTTGGTTCATCAGTGAAAAGTACTCTACAAACTGACCTTATTGACTAATCATCAATTCTGGTTGCATAGTATTATTTCTTAGGAGCATTTGGGCATTTTGGTTATTTAGACTTAGGCGTTAACAAACAATTATTCATTTATTTAATTAATAGAAAGAATAATGGGAATACATAAAATTATAAATTAGTGGACTGTCTAATTAAGAAAATTCAATATAAAATATATAGACTCTAAATTGTATCCTAATATCTTAATTCAGAAAGAATGAATTAAAGAATTTAGAAGCATCATTTGAATGATGCTTCTCAAAATCCTGGGAGTGCTTAGTAAGCATAAATACTTTGAATTGAATTGTGATTTATTATGCTGTTGTTCTTGCAATAAAAATTAAGATTTTTTGATTCGAATTCTTTTACTAATCAAAAAGTTCATATAAATTTAAGAGATTGACATAATATAAAAGTATCATTTAAGCGGTTGCCTGAAGCCAGAAGTACTGGGAATAAAATAGATTCCCTTATTTAATCAAACTGAAAGTGCATTTCTTAAAATTTAAATGATTAAATATCATTTAAATGGTCCAAAGAGTCTGAATATTTTTATATTTTAACTAATCTCAGCAACCTGTAATTATTGTAATTTATGTCAAAATGAAACTGAATTGATATCATAAATATGTCTTTCAGACTAATCTATTCTATTTTAAGGAGATAATTACCTAACTATTTTTATATTTTTTCTATGCTAATTATCGTTTTTTCAATGTATTTAAATCTCAAGGATAATAGTCGATTATCATTAGATTAAGTATTATTTTTTATGAGCCCTTTTCATTTAATTCTAAACACTGTTCAATTAATAAATCCACGCAACTATATATTCTAATTTCACATCCTTTTTGCATTTTATAATCAGTTTTTTTCGATAATACTAATATATAATTAAATTAATGAACCCATATCACCATTATATTCTAACAGGTATCATTGAAGACTAAGATGACTTACCTTCTGTTAAATAGGAAGAATGCTCACAATTCTAATATTATGAAGAACAACCTCAATTTATTACATATGAGAATTCTAATCTTTGTTAAATTGTTGCTTCAATACTCAACTTAAATGAAGAGTATGTTGATTGGTTTGCTCGCAATAAACCTATCGAATTTGAATCAATGATGCTCAAAGCAAAACGCAAATTTTATAGAGACAAAGCTAAATTCCGCATGCAAATCTTACAACCTCATCTCTATTCTGCTCAACAACCTCAAGAGCCTAAGAAAGCCAAAAGGGGTAGAAAACCTATCAAATGTGCTGAAAAGCAATTTGTTGAAGATAATAGCGATCAGTATCATTTTTTCTTATCTTTAGTGATAAAAAAACGATACAAATGATAAGAAATAGGATTTCTGCTTAGAATTCTAGAGATAGAAAAAAAGCTTATCTCAAAGAACTGGAATAGAGCAGTGCTTTAACTAGCAGAGAAAATGATTTAATTCGCAAGCAAATAGAAGAACTCTTTGCTGCTAATGAAGAAATTGAAAAATAAAATAACAACATTCTCAAGGTAAATTCTTAATTTTATTTTAGTGTATCAAAGTTTTTAAATAATAATGTGTGGAATCTGATGAATAATTTGCTTAAGAGATACTAAAGTAATTGGAATAATTCCAAAGTGACACTGAATCAACTGCATCTAAAAAGGTTAAATTTAATTGACAGTAATTAATTTTTTATTATTATTATATAATCTATAAGTACATCATCTTCATCTATAAAATGGAAATAACAGATACATAAATTAAGATAAATTAGTAAACTAAAAATTTACAATATTAAAACTAACATTTAAAGTAGAATTAGATTTAAACTGAAATATAAACTGAGTTTATTTAATTATTTATTATCTTAATACAATAATCAATAAACTATAACAGTTTTTAAGGACATAATAATAAAGTTTGATTAAAATTAGGAAATTAATTAAGATAATAAATTGAAGTGGATTTTAATAATGCGATCTCTTTCAAGATAATGATTTGTGAATAAAATTGCGTAAGCTTGAAATTCATAAATGAAATATGTTCAGTTTTCAAAGAATTCCAAGATGTAGATTTACAATATCCTATATGAAGCTCAACAAAGCATTTATTTTTTAGATATTAGGTGAGTATGGATTTTATGAGATTATTGAAGATTATGTGGTAGAGGATATAAATCAGGAAATCATAATAGCATTACCAAATTTAATATGTCTCCTTTTATAATACAAAGGATTTAGAGAAAATTTGATATATTCACAGTTAAATTGTTAAGATTATTTATGAGGGAGGCAATCAAAGTTTAATTAAATGTCTAGTATAACAATGTGCAATTATTTTAGGAATAAGAACTAAGATAATGGAAAGACATTCTAATAATTTAAAAGTCCATGATATTATCAAAAATTTAAAGAGTAATTGAATGAAGAATCAATTCAGTACTTCAAGCGTAGAGTATAAACCCCACCAATAAGTAAATTACATTGTAGTTGATGATGAAATTGATCTATTCAAATCTGTCTAAGGTCACAGTACAAATCTGCGTAATTAAACATAGAAGAAATTAGTTGATTATGATGAAGATGTTGAAATAATATCAAAGAAACCAAAATAGGTTGAGATATATAGATATGTATGCAAAATAAAATGTATATTTTTGATAAAGTTAATAATGTTTGAATAGTTCTAATGTTATCGGATCATAATGTAATCAATTGATAAATCAAAATTTAAATAAAATAGTGAAATCAATAACATTTTTAGTTCATTTTTCCCAAAATATAAAAAATAATAAAAATGGATCAAGTAGTTAAAAAGAAGCAAGAGTAATTACTATAATGTCTTAAAAAGATATCGAGTAAACCTCAAACAGATGATGAAGATTAAAAATAGCAGTTACGCAAATTCCAATAGGAGGTGGAATAAAAGTATAAGATGGCTCGTCATAACAACGAGTATCGATTTCCATATGAATATATTGATCAAAGTAGTGACAGTTCATTAGAAGAACTATAAAAAGTAGGCACATATGATCTACGTCAAAAATAATAAAAAAAATAAACTAACAGCAAACATTTACAATCATCCAAAGAATCTATAAAAGCTAAATCCTTGATTAAGATCATGTCTGATAAATCTATGAAAGCCAACAGATAGTCTACTCGATACAAAACAGAATAATATGATGAAAATTAGGTTAGTTACATAGATGCACTAAAAAAGAATAAATCAATAGAAAAACAAACAAACGAATAAATCATTTCATTCATTCGTAAATCCGTAGCTAAACGATCGTAATACTCATAACATAATAATAATACATCCAGACAATATATGAATTTGTCTTCAAATAATCACAGCCACATCATGTCATAAAGTTTTAATGGATAAAAAAGTAGAACTTAAAATTATTACCTAAATAAATTCACAAAAATGAAATAAGACATGTTTAAGTAACAAAATTAAACAAGTACATCACAAATGAACTAAGATTCTAAAATGTATCTTATCCTTTAATAATAGATCATTAAAACATTTTTTCTGCAGTAAGAGTCCAGAATAATCGAGTACCATCAATTTAAAGAATAAACTAGCAGAAATGTGTAAAAGATAGCCATTAAAAGTAATCAAATGAAATATATAAAATACTACTTTCTCTTTTATAAATAGATATTTTAATTTCATTCCTGCTTGCTCTTTTACACTTATAATTTATCTTGTAACTATTTATTTTGCTTAATTAATTGTTCATTCTATCATATGAAAAACATTATTACTTTTTTCCCCAATTTCAGTATTTTTTCTTAAGCCAACTTGAAGATTTCATAATTGCCTGGTTTAGCCTATAGGAATAGTTCCTTCACGTATGTTTATTTATGCATTTTTTCTATGATTTCGTTTAAACTATTAACTAATTCTTAATATTGCTGATCAATCGACAATCCAGTAACATAGTTTTGAATTTCTTGGACAAACCCTTAGAACTCAACCTTTTCTTGTTCTAATTGTCGACTGCCTTTAATAAAGTACTATATACATGTCTTATTATTAATTAATGAGATCTTGCGTCAACTTTTTCATATCTTCTTGATTCTTATCAAGTAATTGTTAAGTAGTCGAGATCTCTTGTTATTTGTTATCGATTTCCTTTTTCAACGAATCAATTTATATGTTCAATTGACTAATTTCATATTTCAACCCAGTTTGAGCTAGATTTAATTATTAAATTTATTTTTCTAGATCCTCCCTTTTTGTTTTTTCTGATTAATAATATGACTTTATTCTCTAGAATTTTTATGAAGCTGATTTTTGTTCTTCATCCAATTTATTTTCCAAAAGTTCTAATTGAGTTTTAAGTGTGAACACTTGAGCATGTAATTTTTCGTTCTCTTAAACTTAAATGTCTAATGATTATTCAGCTTGATTAATTCTAATGGTCCATTAATCTTATTGGGAATTATTAAAGACTTTGCCTAAAAAGCTAGGTTTCTTATATACAAGATTTCAGATACCTTAGTATCAGAAATGCTCTTTAATTTTTTCTCATATTCATCAACTTTGATGCCCAGAATTTCAACTTATTCTTTTTCATTTGATAACTTTTTCTCAGTGTATTCTAATTTTTCTTCCAATGTTTGCGCTATTTTATGTTCCTGCTCCAGTTTGGTTTCCAAATCTTTGTTTTTTTATTATAAATCAGTCAGAGCTACCTTTAATTTAGTTATGTATTATTGCATAGCATTGACTTAATCCATTATTAATTTATTTAACACATTAAAAACGCAAATTATAATAATTAACGTATGTAATAAACACATTTAAAATGCACTTGCTAACAATTAAGTTAAGTTAACACTATCAGAGAAGATCCTGGGTTGGTTGAGAAATTGAAAGAAAGGTAAATGGAATTAGAGGAGAAATAATTGGAATTTGAACATAAAAAGGGTAATTTGGAGAGAGAGAATGTGATGCTAGAAGAGAATATTAAAATAGAGTTACAAGGTTTGAAAGGTTGATTATTCAGTGTTGATTATTAGAAAACCAATTGATTCAATAATAATTGATAGAAGAACTAAGAAATAACAAAATCTCAGCTTATAAGAGACAAAATGAATTACACTTATTAATACAGAATGTCCATGAAAATGAGGCAGAAAAGAAGGTTTTTAATATGGCTATGCTAGCAATTATTGAATGAAGTTGAATTTCTTAAATAATCTCTTCTTCACACAAATGAAAATTAACAACAATTGGCCAAGAAGGAAGAACATATAAAACTATTACTTAATCGCATTTAGGAGTTGGAATTGAGTATAACTTAATTAAAGCGAGAGATATAATATAAATGATTAAATTTAATGTAATTTTATTAAAATTTATATGATGAAAATCCTTACTTTAACAGATTCTTCTAGGAACACTTCTTATATTAGGGATTCAATATTCAATTAAATGGTTTGCCTCATTTCAAATCCTAGTTTAATTTGATAAACAAAGACCATCTGAATTTGACTTGGAAATGTAAATAAGACAATCAGAAATTTATTTTCATAGCAAACAATTAGAGTACAAATACAATTATAAAATCGTAGTCACAAGACTAAGAAGTAATTAACAATTTCATATTGTAGTAAATCCAATACTAATTTCATTTGATCAATAGATCCAATAGATATAGTGTCTTACTTGCTTTGAAATACAATTACGAAAAGGATATTCTCATCAAACATACATTTACTCCTCAAATTTAGATCAGTTAGAATTCAGGGAACAATTCCAATCTAGATGTTGGATTCAAATATAGCTATTTGAGCAAATTAGACAATGTACGAGTCAGATTTAATATATTTTCATCTCTTTTAAATAGATAAAATACAGAATATTAATTGATTGGCAATTTCACAAAGCCTTATAAATTATAGATTGGATTATAAAACAGCAGAATTTGGGTGGGTTTCATTTATAAGGCTAAGATTTTAAATACATATAGTGTTGCACATTATAATATTCCTAATAGGAAATATGATGCCAATGCATATTTTCAGATCAAACCAATTGAAAATAGGTTGGATAATAAATTAAAATTCTTGTTTGGTGTTTCAACAGAAAAAGAGATATTAGGAAAAATCGATTTTTTAACAAAAGTGGGAACATTGGGATATTGTCTAAAATGGTAACACGTAAAAGGGATGAGTATGGGATATAATATTGAAATATGAATTAAATTATAAAATATATATATAAATTAATTAAAAATGGATTAATTGCTAGGGAAAATATTTTAATTGATAGCTATTGCTGCATTTCTATATGGCACATTAACAACATTTGGCCAACCATTATTAGGTGAACAATACTCGATGTTTTTCTTTCCAAGATGGTTTTTCAATTGGGCACCTGGTCTAGTAATAGGAAGTGTTTTAGGGTTGATATTGATGTATTTGAATAAATAGAGTAACATGAAAAAGAAATGAATTTAATAAATATATTTAATATTCATATTCAACCAATTTCTTTAAGCTCATCTCAATCAAACAGCTTGACCTAGCAGTATAAACACCTAAATATAGAGTGTCAGCAATGCATCTCAATCAAGTCACAAAAGAGAAGAATCATTGTCTCCAGATAATATTACCAAGAAAAAAGCAGACATGCTAATAGATATATAACACACAGTAGAAGTGGTGCAATTATTCAATCCTGAAATGGGTTGGTTAAAAAATTGAATAACTCTAATAATAATTCTACAGGCTAAATTTACCACCAATTGAAATGAAATAAAGACTATGAAAGAAATCTAAGTATTCATAAAATGGATTTTCGTTTACTTATCACAGCTCAAGTCCCAAAACATCATTTGTCTCTTAAAGCATCCTTATGTCTTCTTTAGATATCCATAATATTTTTGGATCTTCATACTTCATTCCTTTATTTTTATGGTTTATTATTCACTTTACTTTGTAAAATATTCAACCCTCATCTATATTTCTCTTTTCTTCCATTTCATTCCCATTCCATTTCACTTTCTTTATCCAACTTTATAATATATTTTTCTGATTCTTTTGTTGCACTATTATCAAAGCCATTGATAATCCGTCATCTATAATTATGGCTACTCTCTGGTTTAATGCAGCTTGCACTCTAAGATTAAATTACTTTTTATAAATTGATTTGCTCCCTTAATAACAGTGACTACAAAAATAGCGATGATTATTCCATAATATATGAATAGAAGAACTTCAAATATAGTTTTGACATGTTGAAAGACTCTGATTTTACTTTAAGTAATAATCAACTTTTATGCAGAGATCCTTCAATATTTATTAAACCTTATAAGTATCAATTGATAGTTGAATATAAATACAAAAACAGAATTGAAAATTGATTTTTAAATGTAAATATGGCTGATTATTATGTATAAATCATTCAGATAACTTTTGGTTGATGTATTCAATTAATCTATCTACGATGTCAATTTCAGTTTATCTAATTATAATAAGTGTGAATACCTGCTGACTTTTTAATTGCTATATTCTTGATCTTCTAATTCGTTAATTCTAGTTGCATCTTGAATATTTAATTGAGTAACTTCAACGATGGCATTAGAAATATTAATTAGTCCATCTAATTCATTTAATCTTGATTAGATCTCCTTGAGTCTGTTATTTGCAGTAGCCAATGAAACTTGGAGAGTTTATTTTTCATTTCTCAAATCATCACCTAATCTAGTGAGATTTTCAACTTAAGTCTTGTGGTTAGCTTCTAATTAATCTTAACCTTCTTGTAATGCAGTGATTAATCTAGCAACTAAGCTCAAAACATTATTTAAAGTTTCTGGATTGACTTTGGTGGTCATTTCAGCTAATCCTTCAATGATTGGTTGGAACAATGTTAATGAACTTTTCTTTGTGTGTGCTTCTAAGATTTCTTTGATCTTTTGGAAATTCTCTTTGGTTTAGATGAGATTGCTCTTTGTGTCTTATCTAAAGAGATAGTATGAATGATATACGTCAATTAAATTAATGATGCTCCTTCTCCTCTCAAATTAAGAAGTAATCTTTAAGCTTCCTTGCATGCAAGAATAGCATCACTATAATCTTAAAATTTAGCAGCAAAATCTGTGTTTTCAGCATCCAATCTGCCTTGGGCATCACCACTTCCTCTAGAATTACGATCTAAGGCTGCCTAATCTAAATAATAGTCAAAATGTAATATACCTTCTTTGACTCTTGTTTGTAATGTACTTAATTCATTGGTCAAACTTGATTGTTCTTATCTTTAATTGTCAAGATCTTATTAAGCTTATTCAAGAGTGGCTTAGAGTTTAGCCAAATCAACTTGACTTCTTCTAGTAAAAGTGGCACTTTCTTAGTCTTACAATTAGGTTAAGGCTATCAATTCATCCTTAATTTATTATAAGAGCTATTTTAATTCATTTAATGATCCTCCTGTTTTCATGTTAACACTTACTAAATTTATCATGGATGAACCAAAAGGATGATCACCATATCCTGACAGTCTTTCCTTGAGTTCAGAAACTGTAGTTGCCTAGAGACAGGCAATCAAAACAACAACCAACAAAGCTGATTTCATTTATTATATTAATCAAAAGAAAGGAAAAAAGAGAAAAACGAATATTATCTTAAACATAATTATTACTATACAAATCACTTTTTGAATCCTCTTCTTTCCTTCATTCTTTTGATTGCTTCTTCCTTTGTTAATTCTTCATCGTCATCTGATTCATCATCATCCACATCATCTCCCTCATAATCTTCATCTTCCACATGTACATCCAAATAGTATTCCAAAGAATATGGCAATATTTCATCATAAATCAATCTACAAATGTCATAACACATATCCATCTTTTACTATTGTTCTTCCTTCTTGTCCTCTTCCAATTTCTCCCAATCCTTTACATCCAAATTCTTAAATAATTAAAACAATGTCTTTTATTCTACTTCCTTGACCTTCTTCTTCTACTTGTTCTTCTTCTTAACAATCTTCACTGAGATGTTCTTCCCTTCCTTCCAATTTATTTTTGTGCTCTCAACCTTAATTGGCTCTCCCACTTTATCAGCCAATTAAAACTCCACTTTCAATTCTTCCTCTGGGAAATAGTCATTTGCTTTGAATTAGAACACCAATCCTAACTTGTGTTATTCCTTGTTTTCGAATCCTTTGATATTTGTAATTGCCTTTAATAATGGTTCATCCTTATCTCCAATCACTTCAGTTTTTAAAGTCTTTGAATTTAACAACACCTTAGACCAATAATTTTCTATTGGTTCTTAGTTATCCAATATTGGTTACTCTTGAGCATTTAAATATTCCTTCAAGTCTTCCACTTCCTCTTCCTTTACTAATCTTTAACCTGAGATTATTTAATTTGAGGCTTCTATTAAAGGTTCAACTTTCCTCTTATAATCAGCTTCCATCTAGTCCAATTCCTAATCCTATTAATGATCCAAGTTCTTTCTGTCATACAAACACTATGACAAGGCAATTAATTAAATCTTCGTCTAGAGATCATAACCTTTAAGTTTCTCTTTGATTTGATCGTAATTAAATTCCATTTAAAATTAATAATATTTTAATATAAAATCAAAGTTTTAGGTTTTTGTTGCAATTCTCTTTAATAAACTTTTCTAAAATCTGAGAATTACTAGATAAACTTTATATTTCTTGGTGATTTATAGTCTTCAGCTTCTCAATAGAGTAAAGACTTTCACTTAGTATGAATTTTGTAGAAAACCCCAAGAACCTAAAATCATTCTCTTATTATATACTTGAGCAAGTCCTCTGATTTAAACTAACGTAAGTCATATTAGTAATATTCCAAGAATTTAGTATAATGATTTCTATATGATTCTACAATGCTTTCATAATTATATTTAATTGCATTTGTTTATATCAACTAAACAACATCTTCTACATCGTACTTCTCTTTTTCCATCAAAATTTCATTAATTTAATTAGATGCCAACTTCAATTATGAAACAAATATTTACTTAGCTTTTTAAAGTTAACTTTTATAATACTGTTTTTACATTAACCATCATCTCTTTAAAACTATCATTTAAAATGTAATTAATTGGATCTATATATTATATCAATTGATTCTATAAGGGATATTACTATGTAATTTTATCTGCATCGTTAAACGATTATATATTTTACAGAACTGATTATTGATAATTGATTATTAGAAATCGAAATAAATCTACTTTATGATCCAAAACTTAAATCAACTTACCCAAACATTAAGACAAATTTTCAGCCAATTATGCTTTAGCCAAATATCCCTTTAAAATTATTTTTAACATATTGACATTTGATTCATAATCTTTATATGAAATGACATCTTTTTTTTTAATTATCTTACACTCGTTATTCTAACAAGATTATTGTTATTTAAAATAGTTATTTTGAAGTTGTTGTTTATCATAATTAAGATCTGGTAATGTTTTATATTATTGATTATTCTTCGTGATTTATTCTATCTTATCCACTTATTATTTTTTATTGACTTCCTCTTTTTTGTCTACTTAACTAAAATTTTATCTCAATTAAGAATCACTTTCGGATTTGCAAGATTTGGGTATGTACTTGTTTTACTATAATGAGATTTTAAATTTGTTTATCTGTGTTCTTTTATCTTTTTGATTTGAGTATTTTTTAGTATCTGAAGTTGTATAATTATTTTAGGATGGTATATGGGTTCTTTCAGGAGTTTGAGTGCATCTTAAATCTAAATTTTCAGGTGAATTGTCACATGTTTTTGTTTAATTATCACTATTCTCTTAAGATTTATTTTACCTTCCTCTTGAAAAAGAATCTGATATAAATCAATTAAATACATGCCTTTTTAAACAGTTTATATATGATGAAATCTTCTAATTATAGTCCCATTCTCAGATTTCTATTTCAAAGGAGGTTTTTAATTGATTTTTTGGTTTGTTGTAGTTTGTTAATCTTGTGATTAAAGGTGTCTCTCAAGGGAATGAGAATTTAGATGTTATTATTTGTGAGTTTAAGAACTAGGTTTACAAATTGTAATTTAATCAAAGATTTCAAATAACTGATCCCAATGAAATCTATCTTTTTCATGGTATTTTATACATCCGCTCAATATATATTGTAACAATGCAATATCTTATTCACAACCCTAATTCTTGAATTACTTTATAGAATATTCCTTATCCAAAACCTACATTTTTTAATATAATTATTCATAAGTGTGAACATCAAAATAATTATCTTAGAAGATAAGGAAATACATTAACAATCCGAACTATATTTAAGTAAAAACTTACACTAAAGACATCTGTTTTGGATGTATATTTGCCAGTCATTAATGCTTGAGGTGATACGTATAATGGAGTACCAATAATTGTCTAGACAATGAATTGACTATCAAAATTCAGAATCTTTCCAAAGCCGAAATCACATATCTAATACATTAATTAGTTCATTACTTTAATTTTGTTATCATTTCCAATTAAGACATTCTCAGGCTTGAGATCTCTATGGATAATATTGTGAGAATAGAGATCACGATAACCATTTATGATCTACTTAGCTATATCTGTGATTTCTAGAAGTGATAATAATTATTTCTCTCTCTTTTTGTTTAATATATAGTCACTCAAAGTTTGTTTGCACCTCTCCATAAATATATATACCTTGTTATTCTATTTAACAATATGGTATATTTTAATCAGATGGGGATTGTCAAATTCTTTGAGTTTAGATAAAATTTAAGTTTCTCTGCCCAGCAACTTTTCATTCTCTTAGGTTAGTTTAATTATCTGATTTAAATTATTTTATACTTTAACACATATTGGATGATCTGTGCTTATTTATTTAGCCCCATGAACCTTACCAAAGGCTCCAGATCCTATAGCGTCTGTTAAATTCACACAATAATCTCCAAATATTAGTTAATTAGTGTACATAAAAATTATTATTATAATTTATTCGATTGCATAAATAGATTTAATATAATTAAATATCAATGTTTAATGTAAGTATCCCAAAAGATCCGACTTTGCTCGTATCTATAAATTATTTATATTAAATACCCAACCAATTGCGCTGAACTTGCTACCATGTAGTAGATTGCACAACTGTTGAACCCTTGCCAAAAGCCTTTGAAACCTCCTGCTTTGTAAATTTCTTTAACACACTTTGAGATACCACCATCCATCCCTTAATACTTTCGGTTTTATTTAGATTCAAGAATTTCATACTATATTTTTGTTTTCACCATATCCTATGGATACGAAAAGCAAATGCAAACTATGCCTGCTGTTATTCCAGCCAGGAATTGATCAAATATCGTTAAATATCCTTTCTCCTTTTGTAAATACTACTTAGTAGATTCAAATGCAATAAAGAAAGTTGTGTATTGAGGGATGTCTCTGAATATTGTGGAATAGACTCCCTTGAAGACTGATGCTATGCCTTCCTTATTCACAAACTCAAATATGCATCTCAAAACGGATTTATGAGTCCGTTCTGAAATCTACATTTGGAATACAATCTTAAATAATTCCGATGGACTTGTGGCAAAACTCTATATAAATCCAGCATAAGCTCCACCAACACCCCCTGCTTAATGAAGTTAAAGATACAATGCATTAGTTAATACGAATATCTGTCAACTTAAAAATATCTCATGTATTATTCATAACATGCAAATAATGTTACTGAAACTGGAAAACTAAAGAAAAGTGGTGATATAACTCCTTTATAAAAAGCAAAAGGCTAGCATTATTTATGATATAGATTAGTACTCCTTCCTAATTAAATATTTTATAGGCTGTTTTAAGAATGGATGTGTTTTCAGAAAACATTTACATTCTCACTTTAATTGTGCTAATATTAAAAATTGATGGTTACTCGAATGGATGTGCACTCAGTACAAAAGTAATGCCTCCAATTGAGCCAGCAAATGTGTCCTCGAGAATGTCATTCCATTAATCCATTTACAATATCAAAATACTCTATATAATATTCTTATTTATGGTTTTTAATTAAATTGTTAGTAATCAGCTATCTAAAATATATTTATTTTGATCATCCATAAATTATTGGAGAATAGATATGACCAAATATGATATAAGCTTAATAATTATGAATTTAATTTATAATTTAAATCAATTTTATGATTGCCGTTCTATCAGTAAATTATACAGCAGCTACTCTCTCTAGCTAATAAAATATAATAATTAATTACATTATTCAGGTTATTTTTTCTCTTATTTATCTTAATTTCCAACTTCGATTGGTCTATTCTACTTTTAAACCTAGACATTCTCCTCCTCTTCGTGAACATGATTATTTTATTATGGCGGCTATTAAGTTTGATGTTATTAAGGAGGCTATTAGGGAGGCGGCTATTAAGTAGGTGGCTATTAAGTAGGTGGCTATTATGGAGGTGGCTATTATGGAGGTGGCTATTGAGTAGGAGGTTATTAAGGAGGTGGTTATTAAGGTGCTGGTTGTTAGGGAGGTGGTTATTAAGGTGCTGGCTATTGAGAAGCCTATTATTCAGCTGCCTGCTATTGTTATAATTTCTTTTATTATTCTTCAATTTCTTATTGCTTTTTCAATTCAGCCTCCTTTTTTAGCTAATCCTTTCTGGCCTATTCCTCTTGTTGGAATTTAATTTATTCTGCAGTTTAATGTGGGACTTCCCAGTCAGCTTCCATTTCTTCTAATTCCGTTTTTAAATCTTTCTATGGGACTTCCTTCATATCCTTTAACAAAGCCTAGATTTTTTCAGTTACAATTTATTCAATTTAAACATCCAATAATATGGTTTCAGATTTTTTAATAACATCTGCAAAATTCTTTTATAAGTGTGCAAGACAAAGAATTACGTCTTTCAATGCTTCTCCTCCACCAACAGAATCGTAGAGTTCAATCTATTTACCTAAAGCATATTCTCTGATTCTATTGATTTTATCAGTAAAGAACCCAGTGATCTTATCAATCGTACCTGGTGGTTTAGGATTATCTAATTCAAATTATATTTAGATGAACACTTTAGCTGTGGATTTCTTTTTGGCTATTTCAATAGCAGCTTTAGTAATAACTTAACTCAAATCTTCTTATGTATTGGCTGTGTGATTTTCCATGATGATTTTGTTTATAGAATTAACCTTGTCCTCGAATTTCTTCTACTTATATTCTGAGTAGCAATAATCAATGGCTCCATCAATTACTTTGAAAATACTTCCGACCAAAGGTAAACTCTCACAAAGTGATGATCCCACCTCTAAAGCTTTTTTAGCCAATGTCACTCCTGTGCTGACTTTACTATCAATTTCTGCATGTTCTACATTTGTCTATAAGATTCCTGTACTAGCAGCTCTGTAGGAATCAATGTAATTAAGCAAAGTCCAATAAAATGCTTTGGCATATTTACCCTCCTCTTTATGTCTATTTTCATTCATCCAAGCCTTGATTTTACCCTACTCATAAACACCTGAAGCTCTTAATGTATCTCTCATTTTATCTACTCTTTATTCCAAGGCTGCAGTTCTTTTGGCCTATTCTTTTTGCTTCTTTTCAATTTCGTCTATTTCTTTAGATTGATTTTCTATCTTCTTCTTAAGTTATTCTATCTGTTACTGTAACAATTCATAATCCTTATCTTCTCCTTCAGACTTCCCTTAGTTAGTCTAGATCTTTTCATATTGTTTCTTAAGCATTTCAATTCTTTGTTTCTCCAATTCTTCATATTCCTTTGTAATATTTTTATGACCAGCCAATACATTTGGTCTCTTAAGCATAGCATCCATTTTAGCCTTGATTTCATCAGCAGCTTTTCCAAAATTCTCTTGTAATGAAACAATTTTCTTGAGTCCAGCTTAAATAAAGTTAATATTGGCATCAGATAAATTTTTTTTAGAAAAGTCATCTTTCAATAATTCCTCAGATTTCTTTAAACTTGCCAAAGATTCTCCAGGCTTATCCAACATTAATTCCACTTAAGCTTTGTTTGCCCATGCTAATACGAATTTTGGTTCAGCAGCTATGCTCTTGATAAATGCATCTTCAGCCTCTTTGTATTTCTTTTGCATTTAATAGCATGCACCCAAACGATTGAATGCTACAGCTCTCTCAAAAGGATCAGGTGATTTAGTTACGATTTCAGATAGACGAATGGTTTCCTATATATGAGCTTCTTATTTTCCATCCTTATTCTATTAAGCCAATTTAAATTCTATGTCTGATAAATTACTCATAGCGATCATGTCATCATGATTTTATTCTATTACTTTTTGAAACATATCTTTTGCTTAGTCCAATTTCTAATTTTCCAAGTAACAGATACCCAAATTATTAAGTGCACTCAAATTTTTTGGATGGTCCTTTAAGATTGCTTCATATAATTCAATTGCTTAAGGATATTTCTTCTATTTCAAGCATGATTAAGCAAGTCCGAGCTATGCCTCTACACCTTTCATTTGTTTAAAAATCTCTTCTGCTTATGCATATTTTTATTGATGCAGAAAGATCTTACCCTTGGCTTCAAGGATAATTGGATCATCTTTACAATCCTTATGAATTCCAGAATTCAAAAAGGTCTCTGCTTCTTTATATTTGTTTTATGATTCGAATATACTTACTTGTAATGCATAAAGTCTTGCCTATTTTGGATTAATTACAAGAGCTTTTTTAATATCTGTTTCTGCACCCTTATAATCTCCTAAATTATAAAAGCAGATTGCTCTGTTCTTGTAGATTTATCCAAAATCTTAATTTTCATTTTTATCCTTTCTGTCTATAACATTCTAATATTATTTTATTGCATCCTCAAACTTATTCATTTTCATCTCACATTCAGCTAGTCCCGCATAACATGCAGACAATGTAGCCTATTCTTTGCTTCCACCCTGTAAAAGAGTAGACAATTGTAGATAATGTGACTTTGATTCCTCGTACATGCCCAACACCAATTCGGAGTCAGCCAAAAATAATAAAGTTTCTTCATTTTCCTCTTACTGCAGTGTCCAACTTTTTAATAATTCATCCCGAGCTTAATTTGACAATTAGCTGTCCTTCTGTGTTTCTAATTTTATAAAATAATCGTCAAGTAAAGATTTTCCGATTAGTTTTCTGAACAAAAACTCATCCCCATCTGCTTTTTTGGCTTCCTCTGTAGCGAGCTCTATTGCCTTCTTAAAGTCTTTAGCATCCATGGCGTCATAGATTGCTTTAAGTATAGGATCCTCTTCTTCATCACCCATTATTATAATTATTGAAAAATAATATCAAATTTTTGCACTTATATAATTAAAATTTTGAAACTGTCTTTCTTTTATTTCAAAAATATTTAACAGTTTCAAACCAAAATGACTGTAAAGGCATTTTAAATCATTAGACCCTAGAATATAGTATTTTTGAGTTCCTGCCCTCTATTAACTCTGAGGATTGATATAATAACCCTTTATTTAGTGATTCTCAGGTTTATATTTTATTTATTACTGTTGATTTCAATCAATCTTACTATATCGACAAATCCTGTTGTCTTATTAGTAAAGTATCATCCCCTAAAGCTTAATCATCAACTAAAATTATCATCTGTTCTATTTTGAGCTTGTTACATGACTATTTTCAAAATGTAATTTAAATGATTAAGCAAACTTACATTTGCCAACACTTTAATGAAGATATGTTAAAGTAACACAGAGTATGTTTATGAGTAATTTAAGCAGTTACAGTACATTTCTTTTTTGATTTTTGCGAATAATATTATTTGGATTTTATGGAGCAAACCCGAAAAATGTTACTGTGGTGCAAACTAATTTATTCTATCTGTCTTGTCTAGAATCAAATTTATATGGTTTTGAATATATTATAATTAATAATTCATTTAAAGTCAACTTATTAATATAGTTATGCCTTAGAAAATGAAGGCAATTTTTTCAAATTTTAGCAGAATTCATTATTTGATGCGAATAAGGTCATATAGTACGAAATCTTGATATCGTTGTGTTAGCTAGTTGACCATATAAATAATTTGTCAAGGTACTTTTCTCACTGAAAGAATCTATATTATAATTCATGATCGTTACGCATCAATTATAATATAGATTCTCTATAATTAAGTGCGAAATTCTCATTTCAACATATTTCGTTCCAAATCAAATTGATCAAACCTTTTTATATATATATTTTCTATCCTTTTTATGATTATAAGATTCTAAATGGATGAATTCCAGAATTAATAAGCTTAAAACACCCTCTATAAATATTTGATAATACTTATGAACTAAATTTGTCCTTTTAGCTCATTAAGTGGCAAAACCTTCTTAGTAAATATACGATATTTATATAATTTTTAATTTCTATGTTCTCCATTAATATTATCCCATCAGACAGATTTTAAATCAAACTCATATATATAATTTAATAATCTTCCCTATTTGTCATTTCTGGATGATTAATTTCATATTTATGATGGCTTTAAAAAAGGATTAATGAATTTTAATTGATAATAATAAGGTTTAAAACAATTCTCATTTTTGGTTCTTTGAGGACCTAAAGTCGCTGCAGGATTTTTATTTGGTTGTGCATTATATAATAAAAAATAACTTTTTACATTTCAACCATAATATGAAAATTAGTAAAATCACGACTTCTTCATTTATATAATCAAATGAAACATCATCTAAAAACATCAAAATTAAGTAAAAAATGGAAAAGAAATTTTTCTAATTGAGCTCATCAATTAAATTTAAACCATATAAATAAATAAATTTTATTATTATATCTGTGGTTTTATATATATATATTTTATGTATTTAATCACAATATTATTTTCAATCGCTTTTGGAGTATTATTATAAAGTACTCTAAATCAAAATACTACTATATATCCAACCAAAGTAGAACAATGTTAAAACGTAGAACTAAAGGAAAATCAAAATTTTTATCTAGAAATGAATAAAGAAGCCAACATGTTTTATAAATTTTCAAATGATTTTTAAGAATTAAGCAGCGATAAATGGAATTTAACTTTTGTTGATTTTATTTCTTCAACTATTGTAGCCCCTGATCACTTTACAATACTTTAAAGCTAATAATTACTATTACCTGGTGGAATGAGTTTGTGTTCACTCTTGTAGAATAAACTTACTTTAGACTACTCAATTTATTGTAAAGATGTAATGCCATAAAAATACAGAGAAAATAATTTTAGTAAATTAAAAGAATTTACATTTTTAATTGCTTATTAGGAAGGCCTTAAATGTAATGACTATGTATTTTTAAATCATCTCCTTTATATTCTTTGCTAAATCGAAGATCAAATCCAATTAATTTCCTTTGATCTGGAAGGAAATAGATATTAAAACAGCTACAACATATCTTAGGTTTAATAATAATGCAAAATAAATTTTAAACTTTTTCAAAATTAGTACCTTTTAGTATACTTTTGTTAATGCTTAAATTGGGAATTAATAATATTTGATTAACAACTATAATTTATAAGAAGATTTACTGATTAAGAAAAGTATTTGGAAGTTCAATTTAATTCGAATAAGGAACTATAAGATCTTTTTGTATGCTAATAAAGGCTATATTTAATATTCGATCGAGAATACATTAGTTTATTAGTTTTATCCGTTATGGCTTCTGACTTTCAAATTGAGTCTAAAGCTTATAATTTGAAAATTTAAAGATTACAAGTGTTGTAATTATAAAGTTGTAGATTAGAGAATCAAGGAATCAATTTAAGCGATGCTAGTACTATTTTTAAAGACAAATAATTAGAAAATTTAAAAATAATATAAAAATTAGGGCTTTATATTACTTGCTTGGTTTTTAATGATCAATTAATTTTAATGCTTACAAATGAAATAACTTAAACAATTCGATTTGAAATTAAATTCTTATCTTATATCCCAACAATCACCTAATATTTTTGGGTAGTAGATAATTAGAATAAAGTTAACATTTTTGAGATAAATTTATTCTAGAATTATTTTACATATCAATCCAAAGCAAATTATGTTGGATTTTATACAATCAAACAAATGAAAATTGAGTTGATAAGATGCTTTGCTATAAGTTAGTAGATAGATAAATAGGATTATTTCAAAAATTAAATTGACAAACTTAAATATCAAAATTATTTAGTTTAAATTGACGACAATTTTGATGGTATTTAAATTGAAAAGTAAAGCTTCTTTTTAAATAGAAATTTGCATTTTCACTTTACTTTTCCAAGTTTATTTTAACAAAAAATTGAGTTGAAAAAGACGAACAGATTATGTTGTATAAATAGACAACAATTAAACCTTGTTAGCAAATTTTTTGCATTTAAAATTAAATCATAAAATTATTTTATGTTTAATAAAAATGGACATCTTGTAATTTATCATTGTAATTCATAAAGGTTTATGCATTTTAATATTCAAATTGATTTAAATTCTATTAGAACATATTATTTAATATAGGAGCTCTAATTTATTTTGGTGCAAGAAAATGAAGGAAGAATAATTACTTTCATCTATTAGGGAAAAGCATAAAACTCAATACAATATTAAATGTATTTATTTAAAGAATAAATTCGCACTTCTTTTACATATAAAAATTAGTTGATAGTTTAGGATTAAAATTCCCTTTTTTATTTTAATACATAATTAAATATATTCTAAAAATAATCTCCCTTTAATCATAATTACTTCATTAATTCAGAAATTTTCAGAGATGCCATCTAGATTTTCAATTTTTTTGACATTTTTATTCTCTAGTATGGATCATATTTCATTGTTCAAGTAGAATTACTTGTTACTTTAAGTATTCAATTGATTCTTTATTAGAAATCTATTTAAATATAGTAATATTAGGAGGCTACTCAAGAAGAAGTCAACCCCCATAAGTAATTTTGATAGGAATGGATTAGAACAAGAGCAGAATTGATAAATACTTAATAACTAACAGAAATTACTACCTGCTTTAGACCTATTACTTTGAAGACTATTTTCCAATTTAACCCTTAAATTATTAAATTAATGAATAAAATTTCATCATAGCAACCCGACAACAAAGCAATAACCAATTTCATTTGATGTTATTCATTATTAATTAAATAAATAGTTTTGAATGTCATGAGATAATATCTACTCCTTATTAATACTTTTATGCTATCTCTAATATCCTTTACTATTACGATGTAAATCAAGAATTAATTGAGTACGACATCAAATATTTGTCTTTTGATTATGATGTATAACCACTTAAGGAAATGTTTTATAACTTACAATTTTAAATAGATATTACAGATGTTCAGTCCCCAAGAGATGGCAATATTTATAGTGAAAAATTCAATTTATTGGCACTCAATTTGCAAGAGGAATTATCCCTGGTTAATCAAAGTGATGCAACAATAACTTTGAATAATAATTAGGCAATTCTATATCCGAATCAGTTTTTGCAGGGAGAATTTATGTCATTTGATTTATCAAATACCTCTTCTTTTACCCTCCAAAGTCCATTTAAACTTGTTTAGACAAAAACATGTATAAGTTTAGATAATAATTTTTGTGTACTTGAACTTCTTCCATTTATTAAAGTATTAGATTTAAACACAAATACTGAAAATTAGTATCTAATTCCTTATAGAGTCACAGAAAATATTAAATTTCATGGATGGTAAGATATGGTAGTAATAGTAGAATTTTCAGATTTAAAGATAACAATATAATATTACAAAAAGGATACGTTAAAAGTTTTACTTATAAATGAGTCCTATTAGGGTAGCAATTTAGTATAGTAGATATTAATAATTTAAACTAGTACATTTACTTTTTTTTATTTTCTCGATGAAGAAATAAGACTTTTAGAAACTACTACAGGTATCCAAAATTTATCAATTAATTCTATCTTTTATTAAATTGACTCTGATAAAATTTGTAAAATACTCTTTGAATCTGATAAAATTCATATATCATGCTTTTAAATTAAATAGGGAGTAACTTCATCAGTATCAAATTATACAATTCCAACTTAAGACATTTATAATGCAATAAGTTTAAGTGATAAACTTATAGAATTTTCTTATGAATGTAAAATTTAAGTTTTAAATTTAACTTCCATCGGATAAAATGAGCTAGACTTAAAGATCACAGTTAATTATAGAAAACTATTTTTTATATATTAATAAATTTTATAATTTTATGTTTAGATAACTCTAAAAGATTAAGAATATTAAATTAAGTTGAATAATTTAATAAAACTTTCAAAGCATAATGCTAATTGTAAAAGTTTGTTATTACAAAACAATCTGCTATACGTTTGTTCCAATTTACAAATATTCTTATATAAACTCGAAAGTGGATTTTAATTATTAGATTCTTATGCTATCTAAAACTTAGAGCGTTAAACTATTTCTATCTTAAATAATACTCATATAGCTGAATTCAATCAAATTAATACTGAAGTCTCAATATACGAAATCGACTATTGGAGATTAATTAAAAATGAAAACATTAATGTTGAGGAAGAGTAAACTGTTACATTTATAGCTTCAAACCTCGTAACTCAGCTTGAATTTAAAGTAAATGTTGTGAAACAAAGTAATCATGAAAATATCAAAATAAATATTAGCTTTGTAATCATAGTATGTAACGTAGTATTTATACAAATGTTCATCTTAATTAAAAAGTAAAAGAGAGTATGATGTATATTTATCTACAATTTATATAATGAATTGTCAATTAAAACATATCTAAAAATATATAGTTGACTAAATGTATTTTTATATATTTGATTGAAATTATTTTATGTTCTCATTATATACTCTTTATTATCAAACAACACTATGTTTATAATATATATAAGATAATAAAAGCTCATCTAGTCGCTTAATGAAAAATTGCTTGCTTCATATTATAATTAAATACTCACATTAATGAATGCCTTTAAAATAATTTATGGTCAATTGTTTCAAGCATTCACTCTCTAATAATTTAAGTAGTTTAATACAAACATATATCATAATTATATAGATTAAATGTGTATTATTAGGGAGTATTATTATTTTTATACTTATGTTATAGAATATGCAATTGTAAATTTATTAATATTTTTACATAATGAACTCTCAAATTGACCCTCATTTAGTTTAAAACACCGTAATGTAGCTGAATAAAGAGAATAATGAGTTGAAATAACAATTGGCTAATCTCTAGTATTGTTATGATTTATTTCTTTTTAGAAAGGAACTTGAGAAATAAGTTCAACTGTCAAAGGAAGCCTTGGAATGGAAGGAGAAATATGATAGGCTTCATAAATAGAATCACACATTAGATCATGAAAAAAAATAACTATTAGATGAGAAAAAGAAGTTAATAGAGGAGATTAAGAATTTGGAGTAAAACATTTTAAAAACTTAATAGAAATTCTGTGCAATAGTTGCAAGAGAAAACAAAAGATTTAAAAGACTATGAGTAAATAAAGGCTAATTCTATAAATGTTCAATAGGACAATTAAGAATTAACTAGAGAATTAGAAACATTTAAATAGAAAGCATTGTTTGTAATAAAAGTAAAATGTTCAATTAATAGATAGCCAAAAACAGTAATCGAAAACATGAAGTAATACTATTCGTTGACTCTCTAATGGGAAAGAAACATATAGAATTTGCAATTAACATATAAGTTAGAAAATGATGGTCTGGTCCTTGAGGGGTATGGAGAAACTGGTGACAAAAAGATTATTTATCAGCAGATTTATGATTTAGGGAAAAAAATACTGAAACAAAAAGACACACCCCTGATATCATTGAAACAATCTCAAATGATTTTGACTTTTGAAGTTTGAGATTTTATAAATCAAATTAAAATTTTTAATTCTGGATGAATAGAGTAATTGCCTTTGGGTTTACCACTTATGAATCATTGGTTTAGAAATTGAGCAGCGCAGAAAATGCCACAAGTCTCTTCAAAGTATATTAGGAAAACAAAGAATAATTTAAACATGAACATGTAGTACAATCCTTAAGAGTGCTTGGCAGATTTAGTCGTTAACTAAATTCAGATAATAATGTTGCCGAGATTACAAGTAAATTGAATGAAATTGTTGATCAATTGACCGAGTATGGTAATGAATATCTTTGATTTAGATGTTGTGGATGTATTATTTTGGCTAAGAAAATTCAAATTAAATCGAATCCAAACTCATATCACTAATCAAACCCAAAATAAAATATATTAAAGGGTTTAATAGATGTCTGATAATTAAATGTTTTCATTTAAAAGCATGTGCAACATTTATTATGATTTATCAGTTCTAAACTAATTCAATGATGGTTTGTCTAAAACCATATCAGAGTAGATGTTAACATCTAAACACTTGTCTCCATTCCTCTTAATGTAGTTATTGAATACTGTCATCGTCAAGATTAATCATTGCAGTCTTACCAAATACGATTAGACAATTCTAACTAACTGTATTAAAGTATTGGATAGTTAACTTGACACTCTTGATATTGAATAAGTATCAAATATATATAAATATTATATAGAAAGCTTAGGCATTAAAGGTCTGTGCTGAAGTACAATTTTAAAATCTTCCTCCAAAGTTCCAACTACCAATTTAGGTTAAAAAGATCAAGGATTCATTATTAGAAAAAACTGAACAACTACAGGAAGACGCAGTCATCAATATCATTAAGGCTTATGAATATCTCCCAAAATAGTTCGAACTTGATCTACTTAAGGAAATAAAAGATATGATAATGAATACTTTGGACTAAAATCCATCAAACTTATCTGACAAATTCTTAATTTAATTAACAGAGAGAATGATGAAAATGCCTCATTCAAGAGTGTCTTTTGAAAACATTAAAAAGGTGCTCATCGAATTATGTAATAGAATATCTAATAATACCATCGATGCTCCATAATTAAATTATTTGATGCCAGCTTTAATTAAATTTAAAAGGGTAGAGGAGGTTATCTAAGCCTTATAAAAGTAAGAAGAGAAAAGTGTAAAAACTTTAAGTTACTTGTTTATCCAAGGAATCAATCTCAAAGATTCTGTCAATAAATTCATGCAAAACAGAGATAAGAAAAAGATTCCTTTTAATTAGGCCATCTATTATGTAGTTTTTGCTAATAGAGATGCTAAGGAACATTTTGATACATTATAAAAGGTATGCAAAGAGTAAATTGAGAATTCTCCACTTTAATCACTTAAAGCAATAAATGAAGTTGAACTCAACTACTAAGTCAAATTTCAACTTTAAGAACTGGCTTATTTTAAATTAATTGAACTTGTCAAACAATAGAAATATGAATTCATTAAAGTCTTTAAAGACTTAGTAAATTGTTGTTGCAATAATAAATCTAGAAATGCTTTCCTATAACTCTACGATCAAGTAAGCGCTAAGTAAAATCCTAAATTGATGATGCAAAAACTTGTTTAAGATCCTGATTCCTTTAATTCTGAATCCTTTTCTACACTTCTATAAGTTTTTTAAAGAGATCCAAAAAACCTTCCAATCCTAAAATTTATTGATTACATAACTCTTAATTAAAATAGACTTTTAGAAATTATTAAAAGTGATCAAGTCGTATGGGCTATCAAAATATTGGCTAATGCTTATTAGGCTCAACCTGATGTAAAACTTTTTCCAATTGTCAACTTCGCCTTCAGATTTGAAAATGTTGGATACGTAAGTAGACATGTGGGTGTTACACTCAAGAAGATCGCTGATTAATTTAGAAGGAAAAATCTTAACACCCCCTATCCTGACCCTATTTTTGTTAATTTGTTAATCACCCATAATATATTGTCTCCGGAAGACGCTTTAATTCAGCTAAACTATGAAAAGGTTCATTAATATACTAAAGTCTAATTATGTGGAATTGCATTATAAGCTGAGAGTGTCCCACAACATATTATTCAATTAAGAGATAAAATTAAAGAAGAAAGTTTCAAAGCCTTAGAGTAAGAAGTCAAATATTAAACAATATTAGATTTGGTCACTTTGGGTGATTTTACAAGTGATGAATTCACCAATGTCAGAACCAAAATCTAAATCATTTTGCCTTAATTGCATGCTAAATAATATTTTGATTTGATCATGTATGCCAAAGACTATACAATTTTAAAAGAGTTGGCATCCTCATTTAATGAGTTTTCCCAAAAGCTTGGAATTAGTAGAGTCATAAGAGCAGCAGAAAAATTTGCTAAATACCAAGTCCAAAATCAACTGGTTTACAATACACTACTTGAAGCTTATGGTTATTAATTTTTTGGTGTTTTTAATGAACAAAGAATTTAGATCTTAGATATATTTTCATAAGCCAAAATTAAATCACCTGATCTGTTCAAAAGAACACTTGAAAAAATTAAATAATAACCTTAACCCTATAAAAGCTTTATATTCGAAATTATAGAATTCTGTACCGATTTGGGTTTAGTTGAATAAGAAATCGTAGATTTAATTAATTAAATAGCAGATAAATCATAAATTTCAGGTTCAACTGCTCTCAAATTATTGTAATATCAAGTCTTAGCTGATCAACCAATTCAAGTTATAGAGAAAACTTCAGAATTGATAAAGGATGTCAAATATAAGGATAACCATAAGACTGCCATGACCTATGAATTATTACTGAGAAAATACCCAGGATCTAAGGCTATTAAAGCTCATGGAATTTTACTTAATGAAGAAAAATTATCAAAGGCCAGGTACCAAATTGCCAATCCAAGTAGTAAAAGCAATTTTTCATTTGAATTCTGTACCCAATATCTCCATTTATTGGGAGTTGAACTGAAAGAAAATAAATGTATTAATGGTATCAATGTTGACTTTTACTTACCCTAAATGTAATTATATATTCTATTTATGTAGTGAGGCATCTCTCTTTATTGTTCATCATCACTTACTAAATTTTGATTAAACAACAATGAATGGAAAAGGTATTTTGTAAAAGAAACTTTTGGAAACAATTACTAAGTAAGTTATAGTTGTTAACTTTAAATAACTTGCCCAATTATAAACTCATGAAGACAGGGCAACATATTTGATGAATTTAGGTATTCTCCATATATATAAATTAAGGCATACCAATCAAAGTAGATATCACAAAAGTGGATTATAGTTCTATCAAACCATATGAAAAAACTGATAAGGATAAGCCTACGATGTAGCAATCTAAAAACAATTTTAGGAAATAATTTGGAAAATAAGATTATCAATAAGATCATTTGCAAGTTGACAGAGATTGATAATTCAAAGTAGTATATAAGCATTATCTTAAAAAAATATTATTTTAAATTCTATAATTATAATTAACAATTGGTTTCCTAATAATTTCAATTACTTATAAATTATTTACAAGTACAAAATCTAATGTATATTTTAAGATTTTTTGCAAATAGGAATACCTATAATTAGTTGTTTATATATGTTTTAATAATAAATCATGAAAATTTGATATCGTATTTTCTCTATAGGACCTATTATCCGATATGATCATCTAATTAAGTCAAACTTTATTGCAATTTGTATATTTCTTTTTCTAAATCTAAATTATCGTTTCTAATATTTTCCAATTATACAATCTCATCCTGCATTTCAAGATTATATTCAACAACCTATTTTTAAAGAAGCTGCTTAAGCTATAGAATTTGAGGTTCAATTTCATTTTGAATTTCTTCACTTTAAGAGTTAATTAATTTATTCATATGAGTAAGATCTTCCTAAAGTAATTCGCTTTCTTATTTATATATTCCTGTTAACTCTTTCATTTTCAGAATGTATAAGGAATTAGTATGAGCAGAATCAAAACAAGTCAATGTATTAATGGGTCGAAGAGTTTCTCGTTTTGTAAAAACATCATTCTATTTCATATAAATTAAGTATATAATATAATTTTTAATCCGCTAATTTATTAATAAGGAATGAATTAATTAAATAGTTAAATAAGTTAATAAAACTTCAACACTCATATGAAGCAATGCCAGAATCATGCATCTGATATTATTTTTGTTAGAGGTTCTATGAAAGTTGAGGCTAGTTTTGATACTTATGGATGTTAAAAAACATTTGTAAGTAATTGTACTAAGATTTTCATTCTCATTTTCTACTCTTCTAACCTTTTTTTTTAATTCCTCAAAAGAATCTTGTAATGGACCTATCTTTTCCAGAGCTTCTCTCTTCTTTCTTTGCGATTCATTAGCAGAATTTCGATTTCTTCTGATACATTAGCATTTCTTGCAGTTGCATATTTCTTCACCATTGTATACACATTTATTTTTCAATTTTTCTATCATCTTCAAATAGTAATTAGAACTATTTTTGACTGGAGCAACTTCCTGTTTGGCATTCTTCTAAGTAACATCAATCATATGACTCTCTAATTAAAATAGAGTAGGTAGTATGTATAAAATGGAACTATTCATTTAATTATGTATTTTTTTAGTTCTTAATGTAAATTCTGATAAATCTATAAAATTATTAGTATCATCAAAATATAATGCTATTGCTTTTTTCAAAAAGTCTTAGGTTACTGCCTTGAAATCACCCATAATTAAAAGATACTAAACTATTAAATGATATGAATACCTCTTAAAATATGGCATCATTATGTATCTAGGCTGTTTATTTAACAATATTCTCAACGATATCAAAAATGAGATTCGATTTCATAAAGAAATTGTTCATCAAAACAATATACTTATTAAATTAAACCAAAAACTATTCTTTTGATAATTCCTTTTGCTATTAACTTAAAAATTTGAATATGAATGTGCTCCAAACATCTTCTGTATTTTTAGTTATCAATTAATATAGTGAATAAAAACTGATTTATTGACTGACTTATTTATTTGCAGAGATCTAGTATTAGTAGAGTGTATTAAAAAAGATATCTGAAAAATCATCTCTGAACAACAAAAATTAGGAGAAATATTTCATATTGATACATTTATTTTCTTTAGTTTAATCTAATTTTAAAATAATAGGAGTACCTTTATCGAACTCAACTAGAGATGATCTAAGTAGGAGTGCAAGAGTCTTAAACAAAGAATTACTCATAGTTATATTCATGGGATAATTTAAGATTTAGGATTTAAGAATTCCGATATAACTTCCTTCTCCCTTTATTTAATCTAGCCCATGAAGAATCAAATTCCCTAGTACATTCAGAAATTAAGGCAAATGATTTTCGATCTAATCTTTTATAGTCATCTCTACTGTTTGACACGTGAGCCGAGCTTACGGATCCAGAGCGTTAGCAAGAGGATCTCGATTTTTTTTTTTTTT